CGGACTCTGTGCTGACAACAGGGAGCCTGCTTGGGATTCTCTCTCCCTCTCCCTCTCTCTCTCTCTCTGTCCCTTCCCTCTTCGTGCTCTCTCTCTCTCTCTCTCTCAAAATAAATAAACTTAAAAACAAATCTTTTTTTAAAAAAAGAAAATATTAATTAAGCCATCATAGAAAGGGCACATGCGTACGGCACACATTTGATGACCGAACTGGGGGAAATATCAGACTGGGCAGTATAACATCATGGTTAAAGGCCCAGGATGGAGAGTCAGACAGCCAGAGTTCAACTCCCACCTCTACCTCTATCTGCTGTGTGACCTTGGGCAAGGTGCTTAACTTCTCAGAGTCTCCAATTCCTTGTAGAACAGAGACGGTAACAGCCCTCTCTGTCCCTACTGTACCGCAGTGGAGGCTGCAAGGATGATCAGACCTGGCCACGTAAGGTGACTTCTCTGGTGCCTGGAACAGGGGGAGTGCCCAGCAAGTGTCAGCTGTCACTATCATTAGGGTCGTTCTCCATGCTTCCTTCCAACTCTGATTTCCACCATTTCCTTAGTAGCATGAGGTCAGTCCTGACCTATCTGGCAAGATTCCTGCGTAGCTCTCATGAGAAGATACATGTGGAAGCAACTTTTCCCATTAAAGGAGCATCCCCCACCCAATGACCCGTGACACACACCTGTCCCCAGGATCCCTGCCATGCCCTCCCCTGTCTCCTGCCCACCAGGTACATCCACCGTGCAGTCAACACGGAGGCCCTCCTGTGTGTCGGGCCTTGTCCAAGGTGCTGGAGACAGTGGCATGAACTGGACAGGGTGCCTCCCCGCAAGTGGCTCACATTCCAGTGAGAGGACTCAGCCGGATAAGGAGCAAATACACAAAATCAGGTACTTCTAGGTAGTGAAAATGCTCTGGATTAGATTAGGTGAAATATTACAGGAGACGATGACTAGAGAGGATTACAGGAAGGGGAGGCTTGGGAAGGGGAGGTGCACCCCAGGGAACGGGCGTCGAGTGGAGCCTGGAATGATGGGGGCAAGGCAGCTGTGCTGAGACCCAGGAAGGAGCATCACATGCAAAAGGAAGGGCAAAGGGCAAGGGCCTCCAGAAGGAAGAGTGTGGTATGCTCCAGAGGCTGCAGGGAGGACGGTGTGGCTGCAATCCAGAGACCCAGGAGGAGGGGAGAGAAAGATGAGGGTCAGGGAGGCAAGCAGAGGCCAGACCACACCGGACCTCATGGGCCACAGTATAAACTTTGAGTCTTATTCTATGTGTCATGGAAAAGCCAATCAAGAATTTGGGGGTGGCTGGGTGGCTCAGTCAGTTAGGCCTCCGACTTCAGTTCAGGTGAGTTTGAGCCCCACATCCGGCTCTCTGCTCTCAGCGCAGAGCCTGCTTCGGACCCTCTGTCTCTCTCTCTGCCCCTCCCCTGTTCATTCGCACTCTCTCTCTCTTGCTCTCTCTCAAAAATAAACATTAAAAAAAAAAAGGATTGGGGCACCTGGGTGGCTCAGTCAGTTAAGCATCTGACTTCAGCTCAGGTCATGATCTCGCAGTTCGTGAGTTCGAGCCCCACATCGGGCTCTGTGCTGACAGCTCAGAGCCTGGAGCCTGCTTTGGATTCTGTGTCCCGCACCCCCCCTCTCTGCCCCTCCCCTGCTCATGCTCTGTCTCTGTCTCACAAAAATGAATAAACTTAAAACAAATTAAAAAAAAAAAAAAAAGAATTTTAAGGGGCATCTTTTTCCCAACTGGTCTTTGGCACGTTGTCTCAGAGCTGGTGAGAAGCATTCCCACACCCCAGTTGGCACTTTTTCCTCATCCTCCCCCCCTCCTGGGGACCTGCCCTACTCAACTTAGGGTGCCATGAAGGGGGAGGCATCCAGGTGAGCTCTGGTGCTCGAGAGTGGTTAGGGGCAGATAGCAAGATGGCTTCAGGAAATGCCAAAACTGGGCACCCTGCCCCCAAGTACAAAGCCACGGCCGTTATGCCAGATGGCCAGTTCAAAGGCATCAGCCTCTCTGACCACAAAGGAAAATCTACGCTGTGTTCTTCTTCTACTCTCTTGTCTTTTCACCTTCGCGTCCCCCACGGAGATCTTTGCTGTCAGTGACAGGATGGGAGAATGTAAGAAACTCGATTGCAAGTGATTGGTGCTTCTGTGGACTCTCATTTCTGTCGTGGATCCACACACCCAGGACTGGGACCCAGGTATCACACCCCTAGGGTACCATCGCTCAGGACAATGGAGTCTTCAAGGCTGATGAAGGCATCTCGTTCAGGGGCCTCTTTATCATTGATCATGAAGGAATCCTTCGGCACATCATGTGAATGACCTCCCTGTCGGCCGCTCTGTGGATGAGACTCTGAGACTAGTTCAGGCCTCCCAGTTTACTGACAAGCATGCGGGGAGTGGGCCCAGCTGGCTGAAAGCCTGACAGTGATACAGTCAAGCCCGATGTCCAGAAGAGCAAAGAATAATTCTCTAAGCAGAGGCGAGCGCTGGGTCATTTTCGGGCCGGGCTGCAGTGGGCGGCCATGAAAACAAAACCTCTTTTGTACTATTGTCATGCTTAAAACACAAGACTTTAGATTTGGTACTGGGATAGGACAGGCCTTTCCTGCAGGGGCTGGGGAGGCCACCCTTTCTTCCTCGGGCCAGCCTTCCTTCCTTTCTTCCTGGTCACAGCTCAGGCTGTGCTATGGGGCAGGCCAACTGATCTGCATGGTAGTGGGGCATCGCTTTTGATCTTTTGTTGTTTCTATTAAACTTGAACTGAGAGGGGGGAGGAATTTTAAGGAGAGAAGTAACATAATCAGATTTATACTTTAGAATGATCATGCTGGCTGCCCAGGGAAGGAGGGATGGACCACAAGCGGGCGAGAGGCAGAGAGACCAGCCGGAAGCTTCAGATAAGAAAACGGTAGCTTACCCAGGGCACGACAGTGGAGATGGTGAGAAGTGATCAGACCCGGGGTCTGTCTTGGAGATAAAGGCAACCAGCTTTCCTGGTGGATCAGATGCGGGGTGAAAAGGATTGAGGATGACGCCTGGATTTTGGGCTCCAGAAGCTGGGTAGTGTCATCCACTGGAGACTTTCAGGGCGTGTCAAGTTCAATGTGCCAACTGGACACCCAAGTGGAGATGCCAAGTGGTCAAGAGGCTATATACAAGGCTGAAGCTGAGCGGGGAGGCCTAAGCTGCGGGTATGGGCTTAGGAAACATCCACCAATAGAAAGTGCCGGAAGCCAGGGGCCCGAGGAGGTCACCTGGGGAGAGTAAGGATGAGGGATATGGGACAGGATGAAGAACCCACACAGGAGACCATGACAGGAGGGCCCAGTGAGAGAGGAAGAAAGACGGGTGCTGGGTGAAGACCAGAGAGAGGTTGCTCGCGTCAAATGCTGCAGAGAAGCCTAGTAAGTTTTGACGAGAAAATGGACCTTTAGCTTTGTCAAGATGTGAAAGGTCTTTCAGTAGCTGTGAGAAGGGCTACTTCGGGAGGGGGCTAAACAAAGAGACAGCCCAGTGGAGGGAACCGAAGAGGGATGGGCAAGTGAAGAAGCGTTGATGGCCATGGTAGACAATCAAAGATTCACTCTACAGGGAGTTATCTAGAGAAGACATGGGGAGGGCGGGGGAGCGTTGTTCATTTCATCAACAGAGCTATTGCTGTGGTTTCTACGCCAGTTGGAATAACCTAGTAGAGAGGGGGACCATGATAATACAGGAGGTGAGGAATTTGAGGAGCAAAGTGCTCATGAAAGTAAGAGAGGGGGTCTAGGACCCCCATGCAGAGGCTGGCCCTTTAAACCTTAGGACAGGGGCACTTTTTGCATTTTAGCGGAAGAAAAGGCAGATGATATGGGTGCAGATATTGGGGGTTTTGGTTCACCGGGGCTGGGGAAGATGACCTATACTCTGGTTACTTCTGGTTTCTCTGTAATTACAGGGTGAGGCCATTAGTTAGAGGAAGGGGGAGGGTGGGGGCAAAAGACTTGTCCAAGAATGTCCACAGCAACTGTGTTCACAGCAGCCGAACACTGGAACCAATCCAATGTCCGTCAGCGGGAGAACGGATAGCAAACCAAGGTGTATTCACATAACAGAAAACACCCAGCAATGATAAAGAACTTGCTCCTCACAAGCCGATGACTCTCACGGGCTGAAGGAAAGAAGCCAGACACAAAGGAGCACAGACTATGCAGCTCTTCTGACATGAAGGTCTAGAGCAGGCAAAACTGATTTATGGCAAGAGAAGCTACAATAGCGATCGTCCCTGGGGGTAGGGGTGGGGCAGTGATAAGAGGGAGCCTCTTAGGGTAGGGGAAATGTTCCAGATCTTGATCTGGGTCACTGTCACACGGATGGAGACTTTTTTTTTTTAATTCACTGACCATACGCTTTATACTATGTTTCTGTACTTTACTATATTTATGTTATACCTCAGTTTAAGCGAAAAAAAAAAGTGTAAGAAAAGTGATGGGGGACCATCACAACGATTCTCCCGGTGAAGTGTTCTTAGCCTCAGTTTACAGAAAAGGAAACCGAGACTGAAGACTAGAAACTAGGTTCACCACCGAACCTGCTGCCCAAAACCCCATGCTCTCTCAGGGAGCTTTACACTTAAGTTGGTAGCCGTTGGCGCTTGGTCGGTTAGCGTCCTGACTTCAGCCAGGTCACGATCTCGCTGGCGGTCGGGAGTTAGGCCCAGCGTGAGCTCTGGGCCCCGATAGCTCCCGAAACCTGGAGCCTGACCTTTCGATTCTGTGTCTCCCTCTCTCTCTGCCTCTCCCGTTTACTCTGTCTCTCTCTGTCCCAAAAATAAATAAACGTTGAAAAAAATTAAAAAAAAAAAAAAAAAGAGTTGAGTGTGTTGGAAGCGCCTGAATTTGGCTCCGGTCGGTTGGCGTCGACTTTGTCAGGTCATGATCTCGGTCGTGAGTTCGAGGCCCAGTGAGCTCACGTGCTGACTCAGAGCCTGGAGCCTGTTTCAGATTCTGTGTCTCCCTCCCTCTGCCCCTTTCCCGCTCATGCTCTGTCTCTCTCTGTCTCAAAAATAAATAAACGTTAAAAAAAAAAAAAAAGAGTTGAATGTGTTTTGGGCGCCTGCATGGCTCAGTCAGTTGAGCATCCAACTCTTGATTTTGGCTTAGGTCATGATCCCAGGGTTGTGGGATCAAGCCCCATGTCAGGCTCTGCACTAAACTCAGAGCCTGTTTGGGATTCTCTCTCTCTCCCTCTCTGTCTACCCCTGTCCCCTGCTCACATTCTCTCTCTCTCTCTCAAAACAAAAACAAAAACAAAACACAAAAGCAGAGCCACCCCCTTGGAAGCCCACCTCAGCCCCTATAGGGAACCCTTAGGGTCCCAAGGGGCAGAGTTTGAAAACCATTGCCTCACACCAGATTGCCTCCCCGCAGCACTCAGGAACCAGCCACCAGGCGGGGAGCTGAGGTCACCTGTTACCCACAGCCGCCCATCTCCCTCTCCTCCCAGCCCCAGCACAGTGGAGGCCCTCAGCGCCCTTACTTGGGGGTGCCAGGTGGACCACGTATCCATCGCCAACGTAGATGGCCCAGTGTCTGTAGAAAGGGCGGAAAATCTCAATCAGGTCTCCAACTTTGGGCTCTGGCTGCAAAATCAAGAACAGGGCTGTTAGAGGTGGCACAAGTGAGACCTTGGAACCAGGTAGCAGAGGCTGGGGTCCCTTGCCAGAGGCTGTCAAATTGGGAGGGTATCTCTTAGGTACTCCGCAACCTGGCCTTGGGACTGACCAAGAATTGGTATGTCTCTGGAAGTAATGTCCTCCCGGCTGCTCATCCCAATGACGAGTGGCTGCGTGTGTGTGTGTGTGTGTGTGTGTGTGTGTGTGTGTGAATGTTAGTATATGAATAAAGGAAACTTCTTTCTCCTGTACACTATACTCACACCAACATTTCTAACACCAGATATGTGGTTTTTCCACACCAAGCCATTCGATCCTCGGTGGAAATGGACTGGATGTCGTACAACTTACCCCGATTCTGACACTCACTGCCCAGAGTTAACACCGACCCCACGGGTTAAGGGCTCAGTCCCCCAAGGCTGCCCCCCGCCAACTCCACTTCAGCTGCCAGTCACAAATCCTGGGTGTCACCTGCGCTTCTGACCAACCAGCTATAAATCAGGGGTTCCCATATCCCCCTCCTCAGGTTCTATAATTTGCTAGAATGGCTCGCAGAACTCAGGAACCATTCACTTACTAGATCACCGGTTTGTTATAAAGAATGCAACTCAGAACAGCCAGATGGAAGAGACGCGCCGCACCCGGGAGGCATGTGAGACGCACACAGCTGTCCGGGGTGCCACTCTCCCAGCACCTCCCTGTGTTCACCAACCCAGAAGCTCTCCGAACCCCTTAGGTTAGGGTCCTCACGGAGGCTGCGTTAGTTACACAGGCATGATTGATTCATTCATGGGTGCTTAGCGATGATCTCGCCCTCCAGCCTCTCTCCCCTCCCAGGAGGTCGGAGGTGGGGCTGAAATTTCCAGCCCTCTAATCAGGTCAGTTCCTGCAGCTCTGAACTCTCATCACCTCATGAGCAGAAACTCCAGTGTGGGTGGAAGGGGCTAGTTAAGAATAATGAAAGATTCTCCTCTCTCTCCTGTCAGTCAGGAAATTACAAGGGTTTTAGAAGCCTCGTGCCAGGAATTGGGGACAAAAACCCAAAATTATACTTCTTACTGCCTCACAAGGAGTGCACGCAGGGGTGAGTGGGTGCGTGTGTGCCAGGGAAATGCCACTGGGAGCCCTACCCTGCTGGGGCGCGTGGGGCAGAGCCGGAGAAAACTTCAGAGAGGTTCGAGATCACTTGCCTTAGCATTATTGAGGGACCAGCAACAGACCCTATGCTAAGTGCTGGGGGTGGGAGCATTCGATTTGGACCAGAATCAGGGGTGACAAGCTTCTCTGGTCCAAGCCAATCTTAAATCTCTTTAATGAGCAAGGGAAATCCCTTTAGTCTTCAGCGAGTGAAGGATCTGGGGGGGTGGGGGAGCCTCTGGCCTGCTTGCCCTTGGTGGGCAGACCCACGGGGGCTCGCCCACATTCCACCGCCAAGCTCCACGGACCTGACAGAGATTTCATCAAGGATGCGATGGGGAGGACTCACCCTTGCGTGGCCTCCCTGGGGATAAAAACAAAGGTTAGTGGGACTAGCCAATCACAACTCCATAAGGCCTATGAAGCAAGGTCAATGGCAAGTTCATTTCTATCTATACAAACATTAAAACTGCAAAGAACTATTACATATGACAGGAAAAAAATCTTTTCACAGAAACGTTATGGATAAATCATGTTCTCTTCTGCAGTGATTGTAAATAGTCTGCCAAAAAGAAGGCTCCCCGACCTTACTGGGAACCTACTTCAGAACAATGGACAATGGCTGCAGTTTATGAATCCCACTTGTCTTCCGGGATAAAAGAAAAAAATGTATTGTGTATGGTTTGGTGAGAATTAGGGGGTCTTCAGAAATCCCCCAAAGGGAGTTTAGCTGGGGGTCCCCATGAATAAGCAAGGACATGAAGACAAGGCAGGGATCCAGCCCTCAGGAAGCCCACCAACTACAACAGGAGACAGTTTGACCATCAGTAATAAGATGTCAGGCAATGAGCAGTTGGTGGGTATGCAGACCCGAGGAGCTCACTGTGTTCCAGACAAATACCAGTGAAAGGAGGTCTACGCATAGAAGGATGCCTGAAAAAAAAATTTTTTTATTGCAATGACAAAAATATCTACAAAGAAATTCAAACCTTATAACCGTAAACATCAAAAGGTAACAGAGCGGCAAAAGCCTGGTGCTCAGTAAAGGAAGCCATACCCAAAAAGCAGTGCAATGTATTAGCCCACGTATGTCTCGTTCCAGAAAAGCCGTCACTATAGGAGAGAAAAACGATCCGTGATTGCCAGGGGCCAGGAGTGGGGAGAGGAGTGGACAACAAAGGGGCAGGAGGGAGGAACAAACTTTCCGTAATGTTCTGTATCTGATGGTGGTGACAGCTATGCAGTCATGTGTGTTGGTGAAAACTCATAGAAATGAACGCTAAAGGGGCACCCGGCCGGCTCAGTTGTGGAGGGAGCGGCTCTTGATTCAGGGTTGTGAGTTCAAGCCCCACGTTGGGTGGAGAGATTGCTAAAACAAACTTTTTTTAAAAGTAGAACTATTAGGGGTGCCTGGGTGGCTCAGTCAGTTAAGCAGCCGACGTCAGCTCAGGTCATGATCTCGAAGTCTGTGAGTTTGAGCCCCGGGTCGGGCTGTGTGCTGAGAGCTCAGAGCCTGGAGCCTGCTTCGGATTCTGTGTCTCCCTCTCTCTCTGCCCCTTCCCTGCTTGCTCTCTCTGTTTCTCTCTCTCTCTCAAAAATAATAAACATTAAAAACATGTATTAAAAAAACTAAAATTATTAAAGAAAAGAAAGGGGACGCCTGAGTGGCTCAGTCGTTAAGAATCTGACTTTGTGACACAAGAACAGACACTCAGATCAATGGAACAGAATAGAGAACCCAGAAATGGACCCACAAATGTATGGCCAACTAATCTTTGACAAAGCAGGAAAGAATGGAATAAAGACAGTCTCTTCAGCAAGTGGTGCTGGGAAAACTGGACAGCGACATGCAGAACAATGAACCTGGACCACTTTCTAACACCAGACACAAAAATAAACTCAAAATGGATGAAAGGCCTCAATGTAAGACAGGAAGCCATCCAAATCCTCGAGGAGAAAGCAGGCAAAAACCTCTTTGACCTTGGCCACAGCAACTTCTAACTCAACACGTCTCCGGAGGCAAGGGAAATAAAAGCAAAAATGAACTACTGGGAACCTAATCAAAATAAAAATCTTCTGTACAGCGAAGGAAACACTCAGCAAAACTAAAAGGCAACTGACAGAATGGGAGAAGATACTTGCAAATGACATATCAGATACAGGGTTAGTATCCAAAATCTACAAAGAACTTCTCAAACTCAACACCCAAAAAACAAATAATCCAGTGAAGAAACGGGCAACAGACATGAATAGACACTGTGCCAAAGAAGACATCCAGATGGCCAACCAACCCATGAAAAAATGCTCCACATCGCTCATCATCAGGGAAATACAAATCAAAACCACAATGAAATACCACCTCACACCTGTCAGAATGGCTAACATTAACAACTCAGGCAACAACAGATGTTGGTGAGGATGTGGAGGAAGAGGATCTCTTTTGCATTGTTGGTGCGAATAAAAGCTGGTGCAGTCACTCTAGAAAACAGTATCATTTTCTAAAAATAGAACTACCCTACGACCCAGCAATTGCACTACAAGGGATACAGGTGTGCTGTTTCGAAGGGACACATGCACCCCAATGTTTATAGCAGCACGATCAACAATAGCCAAAGTATGTGGCACAAAAACAGACACATAGACCAATGGAATAGAATAGAAACCCCAGAACTAGACCCACAAACGTATGGCCAACTCATCTTTGACAAAGCAGGAAAGAACATCCAATGGAAAAAAGACAGTCTCTTTAACAAATGGTGCTGGGAGAACTGGACAGCAACATGCAGAAGGTTGAAACTAGACCACTTTCT